CTTTTCGCTGGTACTTGTGACTAGTGACATGGTGAATTGCAACAGCAATAAAGGGAATCAATCAATATACTGTATTCTAGCAGCAAGACGGCAATAAATACTTCACGTATCAAAAAAACATTTATTCCAAAGTGCTACAAATGCTTTTATCCAGCACAATCTCAGCACCAATAATCTGAGACCATTTAGAATATCATTCTGTTTTTGTTTAAATCAACTTTACAGTAAGTATACACTTTTCAAAAACCTATTTTCAGAGGTGCTGAGAAATTGTAAAGAAAAACACGTTAGAAACATTTCTAACCAAGATTTTTGAGCTCTGGAGCTTATAGACATATAGGTTGACTACACATACTGTATGTGATTGAAGCATTCTGAAATTTCAGGTGGTTTGATTAGTAAAGTTCTAGAACTTTGGAGTGACACTATTTTTTCAAAGTCAGTGGCCTACACAATGAATATTGATGAGATAGGTATCAACACACCTGTAATGATTTTGTGTACTGTCAATGTAATGTCATTGTTACTGCTCCCACACTCATCACTTTGGAATGTCAGTTTGAAATGTAAGAAGAAGCAATTATAGATTTCTACAGTTTATAACATGCAATGGATTCAATTTTGATGAATAAAAAGTGCAATGACATCATAATTACATCATTTTGGCTCTGACCCTGCTTGTTACTTGGACTCTGTTTTGGTTATCCCCAATAAAGGCCTTTTGGACCTTTCCCAAGTGTTCTGTTATTACAGAATACCTCACCGACACAATGGACATGCAGGAGCAGGTTCAGTCTATGACGGAACTAGTCGGTCAAATTCTTCAGGCACGAGCCTCTCTCGTTCCTCTTCCAAGTTCACCTACCCAGTTGGCTGTTCCCATAGCCGCTTCTCATCTCTACGATAGTGATCCCGACTCCTGCCAAGCCTTTTTGATGCAGTGTGGATTATACATCACCCACCACTCAGATCAGTTCCTGTCGGATGAGGATCACGTGCACTTTGTGATATCCCTCCTTGGAGGGTGAGCCTTGATATGGGCCACAGCGCTATGAGCTGAGCAAAGTCCTCTCCTACAATCTTCTTGTGCTTTCCAGGAGGCTTTTTGCGAGGTCTTTGATCACCCCGCGGTTGGACGAAATCTGAGCAATCAACTTTTCGACCTACGGCAAGGAAATCGCTCAACCTTAGACTTCTCCCTGGAATTCCACACTGTAGCCGCCGGGTTGAGTTGGCCTACCGACTGCCTCCAGACCATTTACCGTTGCGCCATACAACCACAGCTATGGGCTGAGCTAGCATGCTGAGGAACCACACGATCCTTTGACAAGTATGTGAAGCTTTCCATCACCCTAGACAATGTCATCTGGGAACAACGTCCATCGTCTCAACCTCCCGTCAAAACTCTAACAGCCCTACCACCACGTCCAGAGGATCCAGAGCCAATGATCGTAGGGCGAACACACCTATCAGCAGAGGAATGCGAATGCCGGATGAAGAAAGGCTTGTGTGTTTATTGCGGGGAGGCGGGACATATCCTCCGAAACTGCCCCATCTGACCACTGAGACGCAGTTCGAAGACACTCGGGTAAGAACTCTCCATGACCCAGACCCAGATGACTGTCTCAGGCGAACTTATTTGGGGGAACTGCAGGGTTCAATGCCCCGCCTTGGTGGATTTGGCAGCTGCCGAAAATTTCACTGATAGAGAATTTGCCTGTATAAACTAACTCCCGATAGAATCCCTTCAACAACCCTTATGTGTGTGAGGCATAGATGGTAACTGTCATGACAAGGGACACCACCCCCGGGAATTGACGTCACGCCTACCCGACTATTTAAACCCCGCACGGAGATCGCTCCGTGCGAGGTATTGTTAGTTATGACACTTCCAAGCGAACCTAATCCCTGTCTCTGTTTCAGCTCCGTTCCGCCCGATTCTCCCTACTCCCTTTGCCCGCGCCTCCTTCTCCTCCCCACCTCCCTCCCGGCCAGCCCTGATCGTCCCACGTGGTTCCTCCTCGTGTGTCTTGTCCACGTCATCGGACGGATTTCCCGGCTTCCCGACTCCCCTACGCCCGGCTTCAAGACATCCCCTCTGGACGCTCCTTCGGCTTCGGTGAACTGTATCGGACTGATCTCTGGTTTCGACCCCGCTTGTCTTCTGGATCCGATCCTGCCTCGTCCCAATAAAAGACTTCTGAGCTCACCCGGGTGTTCTGTCGTAACAGTAACTCCCTGATGTCCGGTCCAGTTACGTCTCACACAGGTCCGGTTACGTTGAAAGTCGGGATGTGTCATCAGGAAACCATTAGATTTTTAGTCAATTTCGTCTCTGAGGGATCCGATCATTTTAGGGTTCCCCTGGTTAAGGGAACATGATCCTAGGATAGGGTGGAAAACCAGAGAAATCCTAACGTGGTCCCCGAACCTTTTCAATTCCTGCCTGTCTCTCCCATGTCGAGTATCCTCCTTAGAAAGGCCACTTCCGGAGGACCTCACAGTGATCCCTGAAGAATATCACCGCTTTCAAAAGGTCTTCAGTAAAGCGGAAGTCTATGGCCTTCCACCACACCGACCATCTGACTGTGCTATCGAGCTCCTGGAAGGAGCCACTCTACCCCGAAGCCGGCTCTATGCCCTGTCCCGATCAGAAGAGGAGGCAATGCGGACCTCCATCTCTGAGGCACTGGAGCAAGGTATTATTCGCCCCTCCACCTCTCCTTTAGCAGCGTGATTTTTCTTCATGGAAAAGAAGGATGGAGGTCTGTGTATAGACTATGATCGCCCGTGTATAGACTACCGCGCTCTCAATGCAATCGCAAAGAAAAAACGGGAGCCTCTCCCTCTTATCCCCTCAGCATTGGAGCAGCTTCGACAAGCCAAAATCTTTTCCAAACTCGATTTGCGAAGCACCTACAATCTCATTCGAATCGGAGAGGGAGATGAATGGAAGACATCTTTCCTAACTACTGGTCAGTATGAATATCTCGTTATGCCATATGGTTTGGCTAACAGTCCGTCTATCTTCCAGGCTTTCATCAACAGCATCTTCCATGACATGCTGAATAGGTTTGTCATCACCTACATAGACAACATCCTAATTTACTCTGACAGTTCCACTCAACACGTGGAACACATTCAGCAAGTTCTTCAATGATTAGCCGATCACCACCTTTACATCAAGGGAGAGAAGTGTGAGTTTCATCGTACGTCTATTCAATTTTTGGGTTACCACATCCGGCCAGGAGAGGTGGCTATGGACCCAGGTAAGATCAGGGCTGTCCTTGAGTGTCCTCGACCTAGTACTGTAAAAGAGATTCAGAGATTCCTTTTGTTCACCCATTTCTATCGTCGCTTCATTCGGGGTTTTAGTGCAGTAGCAGGGCCTCTAACTAACCTTCTTAGAGGAGGAATAAAGAAACTTATCTGGTCCGAGGCAGTGTCGCATGCCTTCACCGAATTAAAAGGGAGATTCTGCACAGCTCCAGTATTATGACAGCACGATCCAGAAGAGCCCTTCATTATCGAAGTGGACACCTCCGAAGTCGGAATCGGAGCTGTGCTTTCACAGAAAGATGCTAAGTCAGGTAAAATTCACCCCTGTGCATTTCTGTCCAAGAAACATTCCCCTGCCGAGTGTAATTATGATGTTGGAAATCGTGAATTGTTAGCCATAAAAGATGCCTTAGAGGAGTGGAGACATTGGCTAGAGGGAGCTAAACACCCATTCCAGGTGCTCACGAACCATCGTAACCTACAATATCTGCAATCCACTAAGCATCTTAATCCCCGTCAAGCCAGATGGGCTCTGTTTTTTACCCGGTTTAATTTTCAGGTGTCCTTTATCCCTGGAACAAAGAACGTGAAGGCGGATGCGCTCTCCCATTGCTTTCCTCATCAAAGGGTATCCGAAGATCCGACTCCAATCCTGTTTCCCACCTGCTTCGTCGGCCCTATTCAGTGGGAAATGGAGCGTCAACTCCAACAGCACAACATGGGACATGCCCCACCATCTGACTGCCCACCGGGACACACGTATGTACCATCCCAGCTGAGAAACTCAATCCTCCAATGGGTCCACACCTCCCTGGGTTTAGGACATCCCGGGGTGGATGCCACTACTCGACTCGTAGTAAAACGCTACTGGTGGCCCAGCTGGAGACATGAGACGTCCCTCTATGTTTTATCTTGCCCCATTTGTGCTCAAAATAAATCACCGACTCAGCCCCCGTCTGGACTGCTTCACCCTCTACTGGTTCCCACACGACCCTAGTCTCACTTGGCTGTGGACTTCATAACAGATCTTCCCCCCTCTCAGGGAAATACTACCATCTTAACTGTGGTTGACCGCTTCTTTAAGATGTATCATCTCATTCCCCTCTCCAGGTTACCATCTCGCTAGAGCTCGGTGAGCTGCTCTTCCAAGTGGGTATTCCGCTACAACAGCTTGCCCGAGGACATGTCAGAATGAGGACCCCAGTTCACCTCACAAGCATTCCGGGCTCTGTGTACCTAAATGAACATCAGGGTAAGTCTCACAACTGCTTATCACCCCCAGGTGAACGGACAGGCGAAGAGACTGTTATCCATGAATTGAAGTGATGTATTTTTATTGCATTTCATCACTAGGCAGCTGGTGAGGTGTTGGTTGCTGGGTTGAGTCTTCTCCCCTCCCACTGGTGGTTTGGCTCCTCACAGTTTCATGTGCCATCTTTGCATATCAGAGTTGTGGGTGGGGTGAGGGTTTTGGGGAGCATGTGCTTTGTTTTTTTTTCCATTGCCCAATTTATTGCTTTGCGTCCCACACCAACTACTTTGCATGTTTCATGTTTCATGACCAGGTTAATATACAATGTCCAATGTAAACATTGTTAGTCTTAATTTTACAGGAATAAATCATCATGTGATTAAGAGGCAAAAGACAATTTCCTTTAAGACGGAGAATTGCCTTGCAGGTATTCTACAGGAGACCCATTTGTCTGACCTTGAGCATATTAAATGAAGAACCTGGGTGGGCCAGGTCTTCTCCTCTCAACACATGCAGCTGTGGAGTGACTGTTCTCATATGACAACCTCTTCCGTTTAAATCAGATGGAGAAAATAAAGATTTGGAGGGATGCTATGTTCTCTTATTTAGGCCCAATCCCAATTCTACCCCTTACCCCTACACTTTCCCCTACCCCTCCGTTTGG